TGCCAAACTCATCGTTTCCGAGCAAGATCGCTATGGTACTCCGGCCCCCCAGAGCCAAAACCTGTCACCTATCCTGGCCTACCTTTTGTCCTGGCCTATTGGCCCGCCCAATAGGGTGCGCCTGAAACTACCTTAACCTGCATGTTTGTTGGTTCTGTTTAGGAACCATACAGAAGAATTCATGGGGAGCCTAGAATAGGTTAGTGTGTAGTTCAAGGCAAGTTTTAAAGATCCCAGGAGGACGGACTTCGGGATGGTGGATGGGTCCATCTGTGGGAGTCCGAGTCTGCACCACCTGCCTGTTCGTCACTGATCTGCAGAAGCGATTTAGGCTTTGGGCGCTGGGGTTCAGGGTTTAGCGTTTGGAGTCTTTAGGTATTTTTGTAGCATTTAGAATGCTATTCACTGGGGTTCGTGAATGTATGTATACCCTAGTATGTCCCAACAGCTTATTCTAATCAGTAAGACCCCTGTCCTAGATGGTTTTAGGGTCTGAAGCTCAAGGATTTGTATACGGTTTTTTCGGTGGGTTTTGAGCAGGATTAGGGTTTAGGTTTCTACCGTTTTAAGGACTTTATATTATAATAAGGAGCCCTAAAAATAGGTAGGTTCTTCAGGGTCCAGGTGAGGTTTTCTTTTCCGGAGCTCACTCCGGTTGATTGGATGGAGCTCCGGGTTCAAAGAAAAGTTGCGTTTTCGAGCGACAGGTCGGGGTCGGGCGCTATCATAAATAGCTTCGGTTCATTTTCAGGCCCTTGATCATGGCGGTTACGGGTTTCTGGGTCGGGCGGTGTGAAGGGCAGTTTAAATTTTGCGTTGAAAAAATTGGAGACCCCCGGCCCCCCGGATTCAAGGGATAAAATGGCCCACCCCAGCAGAGAGCCCCAAATAGGCGCATTGAGTACCGCCAAAAGGCATGGAGCCTTGTTTGTTCAAAACCCCCTCAAACCCCCCCCCGCCCCCCGCCGCATCAAAGCCTTTCTAAACCCTTGAATATCTGAAGCCCCTATAGACCCTGAACCCTAAACCCTAAACCCTACACAACAACCCCTCCACATGGTTGGATCAAGGCAGTGGGTGGACAGCAGCAACTGCCTGCGCTCCCGCGGGAATCAAGCCTTCGTGCTCTGTGCAAGGCACGATTTCAGAGTATGGTCTACAGGTTTGGTGTTTCGGGTCCATGGGTTTAGGTTTAGGCTCCGGGGGTCGGTAAGTTTAGGGTTTGAGGTTCCCTCAATTTGGGAACTGGAGCTTCCTGCGCTGCGAGGCAAGATTTTCAGGGCATCCACATGTGGTCCTTTGATGGGCCTCCCGACAGCTATGGCCACTGGGAAGCTTGGCCAGGAAGGAAGCAACTTGTTGTAGGCCGCTTTCCGGTCCTTGCCAGAAACAAACTTCAGTTCCTTCGAGCCCTGCCGGGCTGATAGAACAACACTTCGTTTCAATGTCTAGAAGTCGAAAGAAAAGGATCACGAGACTGCCAGACCAGCGGAACGAGCGATCCTGGGCATGAACACGCACGGAGTACTCAGACCGGCCGGGTGCCCAAGTGCAGGACCTGCAGAAAGAGCCCGGCGTTGCAGTGAGCAGGGCAACGCAATTTCTGGGGCTGCTTCAGGCATGGTGAGGCATGTTCAGCGTCCTAGCATTAGTGGACAGGCTTTGCACTGTTAACTTTCTCGTGGGTCTAGGTTTAGGGGGATCTAAACTTGTTTTTAGGACATTGAACCCCACAAGTGTGTTGAACCTGCTGCCCCAAATAAGGCAAGAGTCAAAACACTTCTGACAAAACAAAGGTAAGCTACCCTGTGCCACGTGCCCGCGTCTGTCTCCCAAGCCTCCCAAGCCCCGGGCTTTCGCTTCAAAAGAATCGCTTGGAGACTGTCAGGCAGCATTTAAACAATTGGGGAACACATGTTTTCTGCAATCAGAGAAAACTTATTATTTCGTTCTCTCGTACTCTCTCTCTCTCTGCTTGTCTCGCGTAAAACGTGTTGATTGAGTTTTGGGCTTAGATGCTCCTGAATCTTGAGTCTCGGGAGTCTGAGTCTGGGGAGTATGTAGTCTGTCGCACGGCTTTCTTTCATGAAGCTGAGGGGGGGTCAGATGTGATCAGGTGACCGGGGAGCTTTTCCACAACCTGGCTGGCTCGCCGGTGCATCCTCCGAAAGAAGTGTGTTGATCCATTTGAGTGTTTCCTTGACTTTTCAATAAAGCCAGTGTTTCTGTTACAATCTCTAGGTTTTTCTTGTGCCGATTTTGCGACCCCTCGGCCCCCCTCTTTTTTTGTCCGCCGTGTTGCCGTTTTTTGTTTATTATTTCTTGTCGAGATACCTTGTTGATTTTGGTGAAACCTGGTTGATTTTCGATAGACCTGGTTGATTTTCCGTTAAACCTGGTTGATTTCCGTAAACCTGGTTGGTCTTGCTGGTTGAAAAAAGTGGTTGACTGGTCCAGGCCAAAGCAAGGCCCGCGCAGCAAGTTGAAGCCAACCGTAGATTCACGGCACTGATTCCTCATGGCCGCGCAGAGGGTGCACAAAGACACAAACCATTCGGAGTTCGAGACCTTGGTTCGTGCCGGGGACCGGACCTGCGATAATAGTTGCAGGTTGCAAGAACATAACTTGTTCTCGCGCGTTCTTTCATTATCTTTCTGTGTTCTTTCGTTCATCCGAACACAGAGAGAGAGAGAGAGAGAGCAAGGCCTAGCAAGCACAGCCCCGAATTTTCCAAACTGATCAAACTGTTTCGGGATCTTGAGGAGAGGAATGTCTCTTGCAACTTGTTCCATTTTCGCCTTTTTGGGATGAAGTGTTGTGTCACTGCCGTCGTGCGGGCAGCTGCATTGCAAGCACATATCAAAACTACGAAACCAACAACTTGCCAACAACACCAATTACACAAAATGTGCCCCAGCCCCGGACAAGAAAGTTAGCTTGGAGAAGTCAATGAAATTCGTTATTGCCGTACCACTTCTGGGCACTTGTGCACTCCATACCTTTCAGCTGCGCTTCCCGTGATAATCTGAAGGTTTTGCGGATGGGAAAATTGAAGCAGCATCCCAGCCCGCACACGGCCCTAGACCACCTTGCTTGTCGCGCACGTGGCTTTCTTATGAGAAATCCGAGTAAGCTGAGACTTTGTTGGAGCTGTTTCGAGTTTGCTTCGGGGAGGAATTGCTCTATCTTGGAGTCCCTTCTAGTTCATTAGAGTCATTAGAGGCCTTGCAGAACGGGCTGTCAAATCCTGCATAGCTTCCCTGGTACCAAAGTATAGTATAGGTGCCCATACAGAAACAAGCGGTATCATTGTTTGCCCCAGGTCATCGCGCAGCTCAAGAAAGCAGCGATGCTGGATACGGAGCAGCAGGTCACAGACCTCCTGAGTGCAGATTTCTTAGAAGGCTTGCAGCTCGGCCGCCACAAGAACTATCAACGGGGCTTTAATAAGGCTCTACTGTAGGGCTTAATTTAGGGGTCCTTGCTATTGAGGATCCTACTGCTGCCGCAGTTGATGATCTTACTGCCGGTGGTTGCTGAGACTGCCACTGAACTCCCCACCTTGTCTGTTCTGTGAAGCGCGAACGGCGAACGGACAAAGAAATCCAGTATAGGGCCCCGTTTGTTTGCAGATCCTATTGGTTCAGCCCCGCCTATGCAAACATCAGGACTTAACGGCTGTAACCAATGAATGAGATCGCAACCGGAAGGCCCGCATTCAGTTTGATGAAACAGCACCCTTATCTGCCCTCCTAAACCTCGCCCACTGATGGCCGTAACCCAATTATACCTTAAAAAGACATCCAAACCCTGAAGAGTAGAAATTAGGTAGAAGATATTATGTATAGAGTTTAGGGTTTTGAAGTCGGGTTTAGGCTTTAGGAGAGGCTGGGCATGAGGGCATGCGCACTGCAGCCCCTCCTCAAGAATAATGTTTAGGGTATTTCCTCGTTTTTCAAAACGAGGAAATCTCAAGCCCTCGCCGATCGAGGCAAGCCTTTACTTTGGTGCTGGAGCTGGTGGGTTGGCATGTGAGCCTTGCACAACAAATAGTGGCGATGATTTCGTGTTAGGTTCAGAGAGCAGGGGTTCAGGACTATGGGAGGCTTTGAGTGTGAATACTGCAGAGTTCTGCGACTCGCCATCGGATTCTGGGTCAAAAGTTATTGGACGTCAGATGAAAAGTAAGGTTCATTGCAGCCAACTGGAAACTTTCCTAGTGGTTGCCATGAAGTTGGCAACTCATTTCTGCTCCTGCCTTGAGAGCAAACGAGAGTCAACTAGAAGAAACTACCAGCAGTAATCATTATTTGTCCAGGTTCCAGTGCCCTAGTGCCCCAAGACCCAACGACCCTCACAAAAGCCTGGTGCCGCAAAAACCCGAGGTTAACGAGCTCGGGCCAAAATCGCCAGAATCTAAAACTCGACCCCAATGAGGTTGAGCGTCGAGACGGCCTACTAAGGCCTAAAACTCTACGTCCTTTTCCCCGAGTGATGATCTAAACCCTGGACCCGTACATTATGCGTATACAATCCCCGGCCTGTAATAGTGCTTGCGCTCCCAGTTCCCCTCCCCCCCCTCCCCGATGTCAGCCCTGACGCATGCCAGCCTTGGCGCGCCTCTTCCCTCCCTGAAGGAGACGCTGTGTCGCTCCGCAGGTGCGGTGGGTAAGGGGGGGGACCCGTGAATGCTGACGCATATGAACCCGAAACCCTGAAATCAGCTCGAAACTCTTAAACCAGACGCAAATGACTGGCCGCACTATACATAGTCCGGAATGAATTCTGATTTACTCTAACTGTGGCACTTCTTTCAGGGACGGGGTTCTCTAATTAATAGAATTAAAGGACTAGGCCGCCTATCATCTCCAAGCCCTCGGACCGTGGTCTTGTTTTTACCTTACTCCCATAGGGTTCCTAGACCTTTGCAGCCATAGCGGTGTGTTTGTATAGTGCAGACGGCAGAATCGAACTGTGGCAGCATCTATGCCGCCTTAAACTTTTACCCACGAGAAGTTTCGCTGCCATCTAAAGAGTCCCAGAGCATCCCCCTAAAGCCCTAAACCCTAAACCCCCACTAAGGAATGATCTGCTCACGACGGATTTAGAGAAGCTGCGTCGCTCCATGGCGAAGTACGGCAAGGCGGGAGCGCAGGTGACTTCCGGAGTCTGCAGCTCTTTTCGTTTAGGGCTTTATAGGTTTTAGAATTTGGGGTTAAGGTGGCTCGATGACCTTAAACACTTAAACCGCTGAAGCTTCGACCCCTGCTTGTGAGGCGAGCTACCGGGAATGGCTTCAGAACGAGATCCCTGTTCACGCTGAAAGCGGCTACAAGGAGTCGGACTTTCGAAGCTCCTCCCGGGGCCATAGTGAATAACAGCAATAATAACAAGAAGACGAATTGTAATAGTACTGAGTGAAAGAGTAATATGGGTAAGAGTAATTTATCGTAATTTGATTATTCAGACTACTATACTCGCTTACAGCAGGGCTCAAGGTTTGAGTAAAGGTTGGAGTTCTTCTAAGCTACCAGGTCTGCTTTTTGCCTCTCAGGTGCTTCATGACACATGGTCTCGATTCGGGACTCCCGTCCAGAATCTACCTGGGTGACTTTCCGTCGCTGTGCTGATTGCTGTGCGGAACGGGGATTTGCCTTCGCTGAGAGTGCTCCCTTCAAGCCACCTGACTTGCAAGCCTTTGTAGTCCAACTGCGAACTGCGAGACCACATCTTTTATCATGTCCGATTTTCGAGCGTAAACCCCACGCGCCCCAACCCGAACGAACGGCTACGGCTCGAGACTGACAGCATGTCATCGATCGCTCTCCTGGGACTTTGCGGAGCCTGAAGCGAATCATGAAGCATGACCCTCAACCCTTGTTCCCAGGTGCAGGGTGAGATAAACAAAAACTGTGCTTGTAGGGCTATACCGGAACCCAAAATCAGTTGCATCAGCCAATGCAGGAGTACGCGGACGAATCGGCAGCCATGGCAAACCTGTGGGTGGCCAGGCCAGGCCAAGAAGCTGAACAGTCTCGGAGCATGGAATCAGGTATTCCCCCAAATTTAAATGGAACTGCCCAGGAAAAAGCCTCCCAAAGCCTGAAGCGTACACCGGCGCGTTGGTGGGCAAACAGACCAGCCGACCTTTTCTTCCTAATCTCTTACAGCATTTCTTCGCCCCTACGACGCTAAACCCTGCACGCCCTAAGCCCTAACCCTACACCCTGAACCCTAAGCCCTAAACCCTTAGCCGTAAACCCTACGAGCTCGACCACGCCCAGCCCCGAACCTTAAATCTTAGGAATTGAATTGAGAGCCAAAGAGCCCAAAACCCGAAGACCCCACTGCGCCACGCCTGGGAGGAATCTGCGCTTCTTTGCAGAGATGCGGCTTGACCCACCCTGCAGCTGTCGGGCTACGGTTTTCGGATTCAGGATTTGAGTTGCGGTTCGCTTGTAACTCGGGTTTGCGGTTTTGCATATGCTTGTCCAAGGTGCCTGGCGCTTACTTACTGTATCGCGCAGCGAAGAGATGTTGGTAGATTCTGATAGATTCTGCCTTGCATTCCAATGGTCCAACACTTGCATCCCCTTCTCCGAAACACCTCAGCCTAAAACTAGAGCCCTAAACCCTGAACTCCTAAACCCTAAACCTAAAGGTGGGAGGCAAACAAAACCCTAAACCTGAACCCCAAGCCCAATAAACCGAGCCTGTGCTTCAGGTTCGGCCTTCTGGCAGATGGCCACGAGACATCGGACGCTGTGCACGTGGCGTATTCCAGGATCCGTGGAGTTGGACTCTTGCCATCCAGGTATGGTCGTCCATGAGCTATGAAGCTAGGCAGGCAGGTAGAGGCGAGAGCAAGAGGGACGGAGAGAGAGACAGAGAGAGAGAGAGAGAGAGAGCGAGATATAGAGAGAGACAAACAGAGCGAGAGAGAACGAAAATGGCGGTGCAATCTTTGAAGCCATGTCGAGATGCTTGCACGGGAGTGTCCAGTGGTGTTGTGGTGGAGGCTCGCATAGTGCGATGGGTGAAAACGTGGCTCTGCATACCAAACGGAAGCGGATTCATGAAAGCAGGACGCTACAGGATCACCATGGCTTCATACAGCGCCAGGCCGGACAAGCCAAAGCTGCAAGTTTCGATCGTGTCTATTTTGGGGTGCAGGCGCGGGATCTGCGATCGGTAGACTTCAAAGTCAGCGGACCACGCTAGTGATGTTTTGACTATGATGCAATAATCGACCCCAAAGGCCTGTTCTGTTTATTCACCATGTTTGCCTTCCGATCGCGTGTCGATTGCGTATTCCGAAGAAAGCACGACAGCATTTGCTTTAGTCCGGGTTGATTGCGTGCCAAAAGCATCTAGTCGACTTAGTCCTCGACAACTAGAGTTACATGCGGCGGCCGAAATCGTAAACTGTCTAATCCTTTCCGGAGCTCTCAAGGAAGTATGCCGAGCCATACCTGCCAACACATGCAAACCCAGCTGCAAGCACCAGAAGGTATATACCGGCACATGTTGCTACCACATCATACCCGGCAGCCTTTGCAAGTTTTGCACTTTTCTACAAGCCCTGCACCCCATCAGCAGTAGCATGTGCATCTGCAGGCGTTTTTCCTGGTCATGGCACAGATCCCCGACGGAGCGAAATTACTCAAGGTTCTCGAAGGCAGCAGCATCTGGGAAATGGAGATGAAAAGGGATTGGGGTATAGGATTTACCAAATTCATGATGCTTGATGCTTCAGTTCGCGCATTTTGAGCCTTTATAGTCAGGGCGCTTGTGCGCCTGTTTTGCGGATTTGCAGCTGGCACACACGAGTCAGAGAGAGAGAGAGAGAGAGAGAGAGAGAGAGCGAGAGAGAGACGGTTGTAAGTTGCAGGGCCCGAAGGTTGCGGGCATGCTTACACTTTCGCGTTTCAGGTTTAGAACCCTGAACCCTAAACATCTTTAACCCAAAACCCTAAACCCTTTTTTCCCTAGACTCGAGTGTGCCCTTGAGGTAGGAGGCAAAGAGCACCCCAAATCCTCAACCTAGTTTTGCTTCAGGTGAAGTTCTGATCGGCACCGAGAAAGTGGTACAGGCCGGGATGGATATTTTTGTTTGATATTTCGAGGTTCCTCTTCGGTTTCGGGTTGGATAGGTGCTGGGCTTCGAGGCCTGCTGTCGTGTTGACGGATTTGGTGGTTCTGGGTGGTTGTGGTCTTTACTACAGCAGAAGCTTAAAAAGCTACCTGCTAATGCTGCATGTGACGAGCCGTGCGTTCTTTCAGTGCTTCAATGATTGATTCGGCTTTGAGCTTCAGTGCTTAGGATTTAGGGACTATATATAGAATTTAGGGTATCACAGCTTTGTGGCCGACTGCTTGAGGAGTTGCTCGAGCTCTCAGATGTTGGGACCCGTATCTCCGACTATTTGTTCCGGATGGCTCCTTGCCGGACACCAAACGCACAGCACCGGTCCTTTAATGTATGTTCTCCCTTGCTGTGGCCTGGCTGGGCATACCATGACTAAGGACAGGGACATCGTGATGGAGAACGAGAAGCGCCAGGAGCAGTTTGAGGTTGATGCAGCGTATGGCAGGGCATAGTGTAGCCTGACTGCCGTTCCGAAGGAACGGTTGATTCCTAGCTTTTGCCACTTTTCAATAGGGATCCTGATGGAACTGCCGCAAGCTTTCCGCATCGACCCAAATCCGCGACGTGCATCCTGGCTTGTACTGCTTGCAATGCCCAAAGAAAAAGGTGCAACATTGTCAACTCATGAGTGCCGACACTCGTGGTCGGGCAATGGTAACCCCGATGAAGTTGATCATGACCGTATGGCTGCTGAGGATGACGGAGGTGCTGACACTGTAGTGTGGGTGAGGAGGGCGATTATATCGACAACCAGCAAGTGCAATCTCAACCATTGCCGAAATGCTTGCAGCTCGGTCTTGCTCGCCGCATCATCGAGAAGTTGTCCCTCTTGCTGCACCGACGTAGGCTTGATTCAAAAAGCAAGCTCCTGATAGACAGGTTTTGGACCGTTCCCGGTATGTCTTTTCGCCGATTCTTCAAGGCTTGCTCTGGCCCTCAGGATGCCATTCGCAAAGCTTCCACCGCTCTTTTTGTCGAACCTTTTTCAGCCCTGACTGCCCGTTGTTGTCGTCTTGGACGCAGTTGGGAAGGAAGCCTCGTCGTAGCAACCGCTGGCATTGGCTTGGTCTAAGCTCAGCTCGAGGCTTTCGACGGAGTTCTCCTATTCTCGTAACCATGCCATGCAAGCATCTCATGTCAAATTAACTCTGGGAGTTCAGGATTCCTCCTCCGCTCCTCCTGGATAAGTAACAAAAGGTGGAGTTGGCTTGTTTGAGATTGTGTTTGCTCCGGCGCGGCCGTGTTGGCACAGAGGGGGCGGATCGCCCGGCATGATACGATCAGAGCGGCTGCTGGCCTTGAATTGATCCAGAATTTGCATAGTCGAGGTTACTTATACACGAGAGCTCTACTGTCCTTCCGACTTTACCCTGCAATGCGGGCTTGGTCCTTGCTAGGTGGGAAGCAAAAAAAAACCTGTATATCCCTAAACCCTAGACCTGTAATATGCAGCCTGAAGTGCGCAGTGAGCGTGCAGGCTCACGTAACCTCAAAACCCGACGAGGCTTAAACCTCAACCCTGCACCGACCTGACAGGGAGAGGCTTCAAGTATATTAAGATGTACCTGCGCAGGGATGTCTCTCGCTCTCTCTCTCTCTCTCTCTGTCTCTATCTCTCTCTCTCTCTCTCTCTCTCTCTCTCTGTCTATACATATATATATATAGGGTTCAGGCTTTAGAACCGTCATCGCCCAAGTCCTTATGGGGTCTGTAAGTGGAGTTTCTGGCAGTGTGGAGTGCCGTATTCAGGTAGCCTTATAGTCTTGTAGTACAACGTCTAGTTGTCGTTCTATATGAGCCCCCGCTACATTTTGAAACTCCCATCTCGCCAACCTCATTCTAGCTTTCAACAGCTTCGAGTTTCCGTGTGCCAGCTCCTGCGTGAGTAATCCTTGCGAAATCTTGCCAGACGCTCTCAAACGTTAAATCGCACTCGCGAAGCCTCGAAGCAAAAACCCAAACCCGGAAAACCTGAAGAGTCTTCAACCACGCCATACTATATACTCTACTCTACTCTGTACCCTAACTCTGTACTGTCATTCTACCAGCTCATACTATACTATACTATACTATTTCATGCTATACTATACTACACTAGACTAGGTTATACTCTACTATATTTGAGAGACTGCTGAGGTTGGGGTACTCGGGAGGCTCCTCGGGTCTGGCAGACTTCAAGCAGCCCCTCGCCGATCGACATGTCTCCGGGGTTGAGGGCTTTAGGGTTTAGGCCCGTTTGGTTCGTAGTACCGTTCAGGGGCCTGAGTTCCCTTCCCGGATCAAGAACTTGGAACCCCAAGGGGCAAGAAGTGGAGACGGAGGCTCGGAGAGAGACGCGTAGAGACAAGGGGCGAGAGATGACAGGCAAGGGAGAGCGAGAGAGCTCAGACCGTGAATAGATACGTGCCCAGCTGCACAGGCGGATGGATCGCTTTCCCTGACCGCCAAGTAGGGCCCACAAAACTCTAGAAATCCTGCTTGAGCGCGGAGGCTGGCACTGCTGGGTGAGGGCGCATATTCTGCCGTCTACAAGGCAGCACAGCAAAGCTGCACACCAGGGTCGGCTGTGGTTTTTAGCAGAGTTTCGTGAAGGTTCTCCAGGGGGCGTGCTTCTTGCATTGAGCATGAAGGTATTGGTTCGGCTTTTTACTGCAACCTTGGAACTCAACTTTGCATACAGGTCTGGCAACCCAGCAGTCAAAGCTTTCTGAGGACAGCCTCGCATGCTACAGTGGTTCATCGGAACTGTAAATATGCCAGCATTCCGAAGGAATGAACAACCCAGCACTGGGACGGGCAGTTTGCTGAAATGGCTTTCTGCTAGAATAGCATTGGACACCAAGAACAAGTCGAAACATTCTGAAGCAAAAGGAATGCGCATTCTTTATTGGAATAATGCCAGACTAGGGTATTGCGGAACCACAGACAAGACGAGTCGCACTTGTGCTCTCCAACTCAGTTCGTAGTCTTGGTCATCCGGGTTTCCCGGCTCGGCTCCTGTCAGAATGAATTGGGTTTTGGATTTATAACTACGAAGGAGAGCTTCCCAATGTTGTCCTTTTGTGGGTCGAGATACGACCAGAACAGCTTAAATATTGTGTTGTCGGCATGCGGTAGCCTGCGGTCTTGTTTTGTGTTACGCAAGTTAAAGTGGTAGGCTGTCTAGGTTAACACGGGTAATACGGTAAGATGAGATAAGAGCCTTCCTTTCGGATGAATCGCCTGTGCGTCCTACAAGAAGCTGACCAGCTGCAGAGCTCGTGAGCTCATGCGATAAAGTTATTTGCTTTCGGCGGCAGTGCATCGTTTTGACCACTGAACTGTCATGGCACGCGCGGCCAGCAAGTTGGCAAACGAAAAGGTGATTTTGTGCTGACCTTGCCCCTAAACCCTAAACCCTAAACCGAGATTGCCGGTGTCAAATTCGTTCCTTGAGCATCAAACCCTACAATGCAAATCGAGACTCGAGACTCCTTCAACTCCTACGTTGCCTAATCTAGAAGCCTCAATGACCCCAAGATTATTCCTTTAATTTGGTTCCTTACATTTTATCTATATCATCTATATCAATAACAACGAGCGCAGAGAATTATGAAGGCCCCTATGTTAAACCCTCGACCGGCAGGTCTTGCGCCTGGCAGACAATGAGGCCTTGCTTAGCACTTCTGCTCTAAGGTTTACTACATAGGGTTTTGTTATGTTTGGCTTCTGTTGCAGGCACGACATGTCTTGGGCTTTGAATGGTTTGTTCTTGATGATGCATGCTTTCAGGGTCCTTGTTGTAGTTTAGTGAACCAGTAGTAAAAGTAATAGGCTGGCCACCTCGGTGGGTAGCTAGATCTTGACCCCACCCCCGTGGCCCACGGTTCCTGCCAGAGGTGTACGCCCTGAAGAAGGTGAAGTTGCCGTCTCTGTCAGACAAGGAGTGAGACACGACATGCAGAAGTCTTGTTCCTTCTAGTGCTACTTGGTTCACTAGACCTTCTCACAACTGTCGTCGGGGCATTTCTTGGACTTACATGGGTGTTACTATCACGATGAGCTTGAGTCAGTTTACCCATACACCCAGAGATGTGAACCCCAGGCTTCCTTACGGAGGATCCTTCTCTCTGGTCGTGCCGTCTGGTCCTTTTGGCCTTGCTACACTTAGTGTTACCATATATTGCTGTTTACGATGAATTCTCTCAGTACCTTTGGTATGGCCAGTTAGAGCACACCTAGAACACTCTTATTCCTATTTGTTGTGACTGGAGCCGCGCAGCAGCCGAATCAGTAGTTGCACGGTTCGCAGTCAGGTTTAGGGCTTAGGGTTCAGCCATTATTTCCATGCCTTCCATCCCACAAACCACCTCCAAAATTTGTGCAGGCCCTCAGCAACGAAAGCCTATGCAGTTCAAAACGCTCTACACCCTAAGCCCCCAGTCGGGTGCCCGGACCTTCTTTGAGGGCTCGGCTTTGGTGAGACCGGCATTGCGGTGCCTGGCGTGTACAGATTTAGGAGGTTAGGGTTGGGGTTAGGGTTTTAAAATTAGGGTTGCAAAAGGGCGAGCTCAGTTCAAGCCTGTCGAAAAGGGTTGCAAAAGGGTTCAGGGTTTAGGTTTTTGTAGCGGGGCTGGGATGTGTCTAAATGCTAAGACCAACCCGACCCCGTAGTCAACTGCGGCTCAAATCTGGAAGGCTCAAGGTGTTTCTGTCGCAGGGAACTTAGAACTTGCTTTTGAACAGCACAGAACCGATCTGAGAACTTCAGTGGTTGAGGGTTTAGGGTGTAAGGCTACAGCCGAAGCGCTTAGCAAGTAACTATGGTCACGAGTCCCAGAGATTCAGAGCCGGCACCCTATCAAAGTACGTGCGGGCATCTCGGTATGCCATGCGCGAGCGACGACGGACAACCGAGGCCGCCGAGTGGACCTGCGAAGATCTGTGGGTGACTGAAATTCAAGCTAGGTCTTGGGGGCAAGAGGGTCAAGGATGAGTATGGACTTCAGGTCCAAGGTGGTTACGTTGTACTTCGAAACCCCTTTGCAAAACAGCACGAGAAGATCTGCGGCGATGCGACTGTCTACAGCCCTTACGAACATGTACAGCCCGACTACACCCCATCATACCCGAAGCCATGGGCAGGTTGTCGCGGGCGACCTCCGGCAAGTAGCACCTCACAAGTATGATCCGCGTTCTGTGGAAGATTCTTGGACGCCTCGGGTGGTCAAATCCACGGAAGCAAGGCTTTTCGTAAGCTCTCGGGTCGGCCCTGGGGGGCTGGAGACTTCGAGGTGTGCTTGGTTTTGGGAGTACTAGATTTTCTCCCTCAAGTTTAGCCAAGGACTGGAGATCATTGAGGGCGGCTGGAGGTCGCATGAGAGACCTGCTTTCTCGGAGACCTGTCGGCCTTACGGGTCTTTGGGGTTATTGGAAGGAACTAGCGAAGCAGAACATACAGCCTAAAAAGCCA